GTGGCTTAGCGCTTCTTTTTGATTATAATATAATCTATACAAATGCTCCTATATATCATGTGTAACTATTTGTATATGCACCAATAAACTTAGGCATAATCCTGTTTAAGGTTGTTTCTATAACATTCGTCAATATTCAAAATTCGTCAAATATTTTTAAACAAATATGCAAATGTCTACAAGCCCATCTGTACTTGAATAATGAGCAATACATGTGCATATAAAAAGCACTTGACAGAAACGGCACTTGTTGATGTTGCTGCTTGCTTCCAGACAGCTCTAAATGTAATAACACTAAGCATTTTGAGCCAGTAAATTAACTATTAATCACCACTATTGTCACAAAATTGTCTCCAGTGGATTATAATCAAGGGGGAAACGCTAAACCCGGAGGATTATACAGCGCCTGGGGGGGGGAGATGTGAAAGGCATTCACGCTTAATTCGGGGAAGGTCTCCAGTGGAATCGCTACAATACACATTTCGTATATTTCATCCTTTTACGACCCTTGTAGGTTTACCACTTTGACCATAATAATCTCGATTCAATCTCCCACGCGTCTTCAAATACATACTACAACTGAAGATTCAGCAAAACTATATACATATACTCTTCTAAAAAGTCCCATAATACATTACACCCTTGGATTCTCAATTACTTAATTTCAACAAACTTCAAATCGACACCATTGACTTTAGACTCGGCAGCATTGACGTACGGCAGTCGTCAGTCCATCATCGTCACACACAATAAGCCACATATCTATAGTGCTTCCAACACCAGTGTCACAACTGACACACAACCCCATTATAACGGTTATAACACGCCTCTCCTGTGTCACATTACACCCTTGTCTCCCTATACATACACACTCCATACCTCCCCCCCCACACACACACAACCTACCTTCGCTACCGTGTCCACACACCATCCTTATCTCCATGTTATAACAAACACTTCGCGTATGTCCACACGACAATTTTGTCCAACACTAACAAACGCCGTTCTTGGCGCCAGCCGACAATGTCCAGTCGCTGCCATCACCAATAATTTAGTCACTCGGCAACAAAGTAAATTATTCAGTGCCATCAATAAAATTACAATCATTCCCAGCATCAAACCAAAGTTCATGTTCCCAACAGAAAACTTTCCTTCTCAATACGAGACGTTACCACCAAATTCAAGCAGTCAATTCATACTAAACTCACATTATGTATGACATCTTAACTCTCGGTGACCTTTACACAACACACTTTTTAAAATACACTGAATGTGGCCATCAGACTCGGTGAAATGTGCTAAACAAAGACACTCGATGAGGTTGCTTCACCAGCCTCGACGTCAACTAAAATGACGTCACACTGGGTATTGCTGTGTGTCTGCCTGCCAGCAACACCCAAGTAATCAGTCAGTCACTCAACCACTTGCCCAATAGTTTCTTCTGCTTCCCTATTAAATTCAAGAACAAGCGCTAAACCACAAGGGTTATACAGCGCATCAAGGCAGGAAGGAAGCGTGGATATCAGGTGCCAAAAAGGAGTAGGATTCTGCTTTTGTAAGTTATCTTAAGGGCCATGAAATCATCACAACCAATCATTATATACTACAATGGTACAAAATTAATAAATTCAAGAATAATTCCCTCAAAACTCCCCTCAAGGAAGGTTCTTTGATGTTGGTGAGGGGTTCTTGATTTGGGGAATTGGATCTGTGCTCCAGTTCCCCGAATTAAGCCTGAATGCCTTCCACATCCCCCCCCCAGGCGCTGTATAATCCTCCGGGTTTACCGCTTCCCCTTGATTATAATAATAATAATAATAATCCCTCAAAACTACTCGACAAATGATTCATAATATACCATAGTGCTATATCAAAAAAATATACTAAGGATTATATTATTATAATCATAACACTAATTACGACATATAAAATACTAAAACAAATCGAAAAAACAATGATAATGTTAATAAACACGATCACAAGGCCCGGTGGCCTGGTGGCTAAAGCTCCCGCTTCACACACGGAGGGCCCGGGTTCGATTCCCGGCGGGTGGAAACATTCGACACGTTTCCTTACACCTGTTGTCCTGTTCACCTAGCAGCAAATAGGTACCTGGGTGTTAGTCGATTGGTGTGGGTCGCATCCTGGGGGACAAGATTAAGGACCACAATGGAAATAAGTTAGACAGTCCTCGATGACGCACTGACTTTCTTGGGTTATCCTGGGTGGTTAACCCTTCGGGGTTAAAAATCCGAACGAAATCTTATCTTATCTTATCTTGCCTCGTAGTGACCAGTCAAGAGTCACTCTCAACCACTCTGGTAGTTGTAGTTGGAGGAGGTCGAGTCAAACTTTTCTTTATATTTTATTTAAAAAACTTTATGTACAATACATCAGGTACACAATCACAACTCCACGAGTAATACAAAAGTATTCCCTATACAATCCATGACGTAAGTACATATTTAAGACATGGAATCAATTCCAAATTCCTAACACTACCACGTACAATCATTATTAAAACCCATGTGTATCGGCCATAAGGTCGAATGTGGAATAACTTAGACTCGCTCACCCCCCCCCCCCCCGTCAAGATACTATTCCTCTTCACACCATACACCCCTCAAGGAAGGTTCCTTGATGTTGGTGAGGGGCTCTTGATTTAGGGAATTGGATCTGTGCTCCAGTTCCCTTCCCCTCAAGGAAGGTTCCTTGATGTTGGTGAGGGGCTCTTGATTTAGGGAATTGGATCTGTGCTCCAGTTCCCCGAATTAAGCCTGAATGCCTTCCACATCCCCCCCCAGGCGGTGTATAATCCTCCGGGTTTAGCGCTTCCTCCTTGATTATAATAATAATAATTCACACCATACACATAATTACCTTATCACCTCTCCAGTGAAAACTTTAATTAGCAGTACATTAACAACCTTTTGAACTCAATCTATATATTCCAGTATGCAAACTTTACTGGTATAGAACCCATATGTCAAGGTTACAATTTACATAGCTGTATAATCCTCCAGGTTTAGCGCTTACCCCTTGATTATAATAATAATAATACAATTTACATATAAAATTTACATCAATGCAAAAACCACCATCAATCTAATTTTATTCGTTCATAGCTTTTTTTTTTTTTTTTTTTTTTTATTGGAGCCAAAATGAAAAAAAAGGCAGTACAAACCAAAACAGTACACCCTAACAATTAACATAAGCCATTTTACAAAACTAAAATGTATGAGCACATACGTCACGATAAAATGCCCGTTACCCTGACCAACCAACCCGCCACATGGTTTCCAAATCAGTTATGAACACACATGTTCATATGACAAGAACTGTAAATTGCAAGACCTTACCAGGTAGTTCAACTTGAAAGGTATAAATGATAATGAGGAAAAAAAACTCAATTGACCAGCATAGACTATATACATTCAAAAGTTATAACATTATATGTAATAAACCCCTGGTGACAGAGCTAAATATTACTCCACAAAAGTTTGAAAGACAATGAACCTGAAAAAGGTTAAAAAATGACAAAATAGGACACGCACGTCCCCCCCCCAAAAAAAAAAAAAAAAAACGGTGACCACTTCTACGTTCCCAGATTAATAAGGCGTGTTCTTTCATGTAGTGACATAAGTACATTTATCTAAGGATTTCTTATATTAACATGATACAATCTTGGGTACCTCAAACATTGTATATTTCAGCAGAAAAATTAACGACAAACCTCATGAGGTGGTTGTTGTACAAAAGGACAAATATAACTCGATATTTCTCTCACACACCAATTACAGTACTTAAAATAATCCCCTAAAAACTCAATCACTATACTATTAGTGCTGATATCAGCACGACGCCTACATTCTACATCACAGAACAATACCTAACAAGACTATCACCAACACTGTTGGTGGAGAATCACAAGAACCACCATCACCAACACTGTTCGAGCAGCATCACTGGAACCACCATCACCACCACTGTTGGAGCAGCATCACAGGAATCACCACCACCACCACCACCACTGTTGGAGTAGCATCACAGGAACCACCATCACCACCACTGTTAGAGCAGTATCACAGGAACCACCATCACCAACACTATTGGAGCAGCATCACAGGAACCACCATTACCATCACGGATCAGCATCAGAGGAACCACCATCACCACCACTGTAGAAGCAGAATCATAGGAACTACCATCACAACCTTTGTTGGAGCAGCATCACAGGAACCACCATCACAACCTTTGTTGGAGCAGCATCACAGGAACCACCATCACCACCACTGTTGGAGCAGCATCACAGGAACCACCATCACCATAACTATTGAGCAGCTGGAGAAGCACCGCAGGAACCACCATCACCACCATTGTTGGAGCAGCACAACAGGAAGCAGCATAAGGCTTGAGTACTAGTTGCCGGTCCAGAGTACCAACAGTTACAGCTACAGACTTCATTAAACTCTCTTTACATTAATGAGAAAAACGACTTCATAGGCGGACGCTAAGCGTCCACGCTTCTGAAAAGTTCACTAATAATACTGAAATCGGCTCCGAGTACTGACGTTGTGTTGTTGGTGTTGGTGTTGCTTGTGTTGAATGTTGCTGGTGTTGGTGTTCCTTGTGTTGAGTGTTGTTGGTGTTGATTGTGTTATTGAGTGTCGTTGGTGTTGCTTGTGTTGGTGAGTGTTGGTGTTGCTTGTGTTGTTGAATGTTGCTGGTGATGGTGTTGTTTTGAGTGTTGGTGGTATTGGTATTGCTTGTGTTAAGTATTGTTGGTGTTGCTCGTGTTTAGTGTTGTTTGTGTTACTGGTGTTGGTGTTGATTGTGTTGTTGGGTGTTTGGTGGTGGTGTTGATATTGATTGTGTTGCTTGTGTTGTTTGGTGTTGATATTGTGTTGCTTGTGTTGTTTGGTGTTGATATTGATGACGTTAGTTGTGTTGGTTGATATTCATTTAATAATAATAATTATTATTGGCACCCAAGTACCTACTTGCTGCTAGGGGAAGAAGGTCAGCATATTTCCCCATGCCGGGGATCCATCCCGGACCCGCCGTGTGTAAGCTGAGGGTGGAGTAAGATGTCAGGTGCGCCGAGTGCATGTGGTGGACATTCTTGACACTCCGGTTGATTCATCCCTCTAATACAGAACATTCATTTCCTGGGTAGAGGCATGGCTGACAAATAGGCAGCATAAATGGGGAGAAATCAGAATGGAGGCACGTCAAAAGCGGTGTTCCTCAGGGTCAGTGTCGGGCCCGTTGTTGTTCACAATTTACATAAACGACATAGATGAGGGAATAAATAGCGACATAAGCAAATTTGCTGATGACACCAAAATAGGCCGTCCAATTCATTCTAATGAGGACACTAGAGCACTCCAGGATGCAATGGTCGGAGAAGTGGCAGATGCAGTTTAATATTGACAAATGCAAAGTTATAAATGTTGGACAGTTAAATAACCATGCCACATATAAACTAAATAATGTAGATCTTAATACTACTGTTTGCGAAAAGGATTTAGGAGTTCTGGTTAGCAGTAATCTAAAACCAAGACAACAGTGCATTAGTGTTCGCAATAAAGCTAACAGAATTCTTTGCTTCATATCTAGAAGCATAAATAATAGAAGTCCTCAGGTTTTTCTTCAACTCTTTATATCCTTGGTTAGGCCTCATTTAGACTATGCTGCTCAGTTCTGGTCACCGTATTACAGAATGGATACAAATGCTCTGAAAAACGTACAGAGGAGGATGACAAAGATGATCCCATGTATCAGAAATCTTCCCTATGAGGATAGAATGAGGGCCCTGAATCTGCACTCTCTAGAAAGGCATAGAATTAGGGGGGATATGATCGAGGTGTATAAATGGAAAACAGGAATAAATAAAGGGGATGTAAGTAGCGTGCTGAAAATTTCCAGCCAAGACAGGACTCACAGCAATGGTTTCAAGTTGGAAAAATTCAGATTCAGGAAGGATATAGGAAAGCACTTGTGGATGAGTGGAACAAACTCCCGAGTACAGTTGTTGAGGCTAAAACGTTGTATAGTTTTAAAAATAGGTTAGATAAATACATGAGTGGGTGTGGGTGAGTGTGAGTTGGACCTGACTAGCTTGTGCTGCTGGGTCTGGTACCGTGCTCCTTCCTTGAGTGGAGGTGACCAGACTGGGTGGGTCATTGGGCTAATCTGGGGGGGGACATGGACCTGCTCCGCATGGGTCAGTAGGCCTGTTGCAGTGTTCCTTCTTTCTTATGTTCTTAAGACCCCAGGAAAGATCCAACAGACTTCACCACATCACAAAAATAAGAGTTACAATCCCGACCATGGTCAGGAACTACTCCAGTTTCACAAAAGAAAAACCATATGCCAAAATATTGTTTTCTGTCTTGCTCAGATGTAATAACCACACTTAAAACAAATCAACATCTCAGTCGCACAACGCCATCACATCTATACACTCTCAAGCGCACGTAACTAACTTACCATAACTACAAAACATGCAACTTATTAACTCCCGCCTTTCACCTTAACGTTCCTAACATACCTCAGGGTATTACCAAGGGACGAGTCCAACCCCTCGCTGCCTTACCCGCCTCAGTTGCAGTAACCGCTGTACTGTAAGACTCCTATAGCTTGCAGGGAAAACAGTACCCCACCTCCCACCATAAAGAAGTCTATTCCTACAACATGTTCTATAAATACCCACTACAACCACCTTAACTCTAACTGCTCCCTCGGTTTCCCTCATACCCCATGAGATATGTAGGAAATCAGTCACCACGTACAGTATTGCTCTTCTTACCTCCCTTGACACTCCTCTAACTTCCAAGGTTAAGACACCGTACAGTTGAGATACTTCCCCTACTAAGAAATACTGAAACCCTCCCCAACCACGTACAAACCTCTTCCAATGTTTCACAAAAAAAAAAAAAAAAATTTCTTCTACACCGCAACGTAAACAATTTGCCTCCCTTACCAAACTCGTCCTCCTTAAAACCCATTTTTATGCTAAAATTCCCACGATAAATCTGTACAATAATTCGCAAAGCCTCGGTGCCAACTTGAGCTTACAAAAAACCCTCCCATATTTCCACCCAATTATACAACACAAATACACAGACACCCCCTGCACAATTTCCCTATGGCAACATATCCACACCATTTGCCACGCCCTGATCCTTTCAACATTTTTCAACTTCAACAACAAACGCAACATGTCCTCGCACTCTATTAATCCTCTGCCACTCCACCATTTGCGTATACTATATATATACCATTACCCGACCCACTCGGACTCCCCTCTCCCCGCCCTCCCTAACGAACCGCTGCTTTACACATAGGGCCTTCGCCCTTGACCCCAATGCCGAGACCTAAACCCCCAAGACGTACGTGTGTCATGACAAACCTCCCTACTCAACCAAGCTCTCCCGTAACCCCAAACATAACCTAAGACCCTTCTCTGCAACTCCTCAATATCCACGTCCCGTAATGAGTATACCCACTCCCCATACCTTATTGTAATCAAGACAGTTAACCACCACTGCCCTCTGTTGCAAGGAGACATCCCCACCTCTTAATCCTCAGAGATGGTCTAAAGCCCTTTTTAACACCAATTCAAAATTTATCCTTCAACCCTCCCTCTCTTCCGCCATGTACACGATCCCACATATTTTAAGTTGCTCCACGACTGACCACCCATACCTTTCGCCCCCCCCCCACACCCACGTACCCACCTCAAATAATTTTGATTTCAACCTGTTAATGCACATACCAGTCACTGCCCCAAAAAACTCAACAATCCCCCTACCCACAATCTGCAATTCCTCCTCCTCTTTTAACAAAATCGTGATACCGTCCACTACACTCGCTGCACGGTTACTACCCAGTACCCCACACCCAAAACCACCATCCACCAGTTCATAAAATGGATTTTGCACACAGGCAGAAAACAGCTGAGACAAAGCCCCCCCCCCTTGCCTCAAACCACATTCCATACGTGTACAGGCTGCCCTAACTTACCATTCACCTGTACTCGTACCATTGCTGAGGCATACAAACTGTCAACCCATCATACTATCCCCTCCCCAAAACGCTGCCTTAATAAATACATGCCAACACTCAAACATTTTCCCAGTAAAACCCAAGGACACCCCCCCCTTGACACCCCCAAAAACTCCCTAACACACCAATGTCCTTCCCTCATGCTCCTACCTGGTATGCCCACCTGTCCCCTATGAATAATTCCATAACTTTTCTCATCCTGTTACCTACGACTTTTGCAAATATTTTTGTCTGAGCACATAAGAGATATAGCCCTATATGCACTCAGACCGCTTCCCTCCCTGAGCATGTAATTCAATACCTCAACCAACCATTCCTTAATGCTTCCCCAATGCATCCTACAAAATTCATTCAATATGCCATCTATACCTGGTGATTTCCCTCTACTCGTCCTAAATATCGCCTCCTCAACCTACTCCACACGAATCCTGCCTTCTAGTACCCTCCAATCCCTTTCACATATAACCTTTCTGAACCCCCCCCCCCATCAGACCATCCTCATGGACCCCGCTCCTCTCCACCAGAGCTTTTCCTCAAACCAATCATCAGTATAAAATCTCATGCTGTCCATATTAAAGAGTAACTGACCGGGCAGGTATCCACCCAAACCCGTGCATACTTCCAAACGCAAGAGGAATGTTGCCTGTTGTCTAACCCAAAATTTCCACAGGACATAACCCATAGCACCTCTTCCATGCCCGCCCTGATTCTTACCGCACTGAAACGCTCCTTGTGAATTTCGGAAAGTCCATTGCAAATATGTTCAATGTCTTCGTACCTACTACTTCCGCCCAAAAATAATAATAGTTCAGTTGCCCCTCCAAATCATTTTGTAACCTATACCTCCACCTCACCTCCTCCTTACCCCAATTCCTATAATAACTCTCTATCCCAGGTCTGGCGTGAATTTCCCACCATTCCAACAAACATTCACCTTCCCTCCACATTTCCCTAAGATCCTTCCACCAATCCTGAAAAGTGCACCAATCCCCCTCCCCATCCAAAAGCCACACATTCACTTTCCAATAACCGGGATAAATCCGTATCATTCCATCAAAGTCCATATCCGCTAGCACTGCACGGTAGTCTGAAAACCCCACATCAAAGGTCTGTACGCACCCAACTCAAATTCCCTGTGTTACACAAGTTCTATCCAGACTGGCCACGTAGCCTCTGCAGACCAACGTGTGCTCCACCCCCCCCCCACACGTGTGGTGTGAATATAATACAAACAATTCATAGTTTGCAAGTTACTTAACAGCAAGTGCAGGATTGCTAAAACTCTTGTCCACAGGGCTCAAAAAGAGTTGTTGACATGGTTTGGACATGAGAGAATGAAACAAAACTGACTTCTACAGTCTATAAATCTGTAGTGGAGGGAAAACGAGGTACGAGTTACCCTAGGAAAGGATAGAGGGACAGTATAAAGGAAGTTGTGTGTGCAAGGGGCTTGGACTTCCAGCAAGCATTCGTGACCATATTTGATACGAGTGAATGGAGACAAACATGCTGTTATAGCATGAGCAAACTAACATTTACAAAAGGATTCAGGGAAACTGGCAGGCCAGACTGGCAGATGGCAAGTACAGTGTCTGTACTCTAAAGGAGGGGTGTTAGGGGAGGGACGAGTAAAATAATTTTTTTTTTTTTTGGGGGGGGGGGAGAGTCCTAATTCAATGAAATTTTGACAGTGCATTAAACAGCATAAAAAAACATATAACCTGTGTTTGTTTTGACTATTACCCTTCAAGTTAGATAAAAAAAACAAATTATGCACAATTTCATAGGTCCTAACACTTTCCTCTTTCTACTAAATTCTGAAAATGTACAATATTCTAGTTAACCTCAGATGAAACATAAAGGCTACATTAACAACCCAGGACAGTTTACCAACAATATCAGTACATTCCATAAAAAAAATAATGTTCAAGTTGTTCTTTCTTGGAGGTAAGAGGAAAAATTCATTAAAAAAATCTTAACAATATCGCAAATCCTCTCAGGTTGTTTGTAGAACCATCATTCCTCAATAACATCTGAAAGAAAGGTCATGGCAATCCAATGAATACTTACCACTCAAGATGAATTACAATGTCAATAATTTATTACCCAGTTTTTTTTTTTTTACTCTAAGCAAGTGGCACACCAACTGTGTGTGCTACACCCCTCCAACCTTCTTTACAGCCTCCCACCTACTAACAGACTCACTCTATGTCTGTCTGTCTGTCTGTCTGCTATCTGCACACAAGTTGCCATGTACAATATTTACAATGAAATAATCATAGAAATCGTAATTTTCGGAAGAACAAACAAGAAATTGATATTTGCAAACATGTATTTTTGTTGATGGCAAAAACAAAAAAAATACATTTAATGAAAAACATGCTTAGAAATATCATACAAACAAGCTGATTACATCAAAATGTTGGCAACATTTTTCACTAGCAAAACATCATTTTCCATATTCTTTCAATTTTAATGTCCTGATCACTGAAAAAACTCACCCCTCCCTTAATTAATGTCACAGTTTTATAAACTGTAGTGTAAAGCACCGCTCCTGCAAGACATTCATCCAGTCGATGATGATTAAACTTTTTCTTCTTCGAGCCACCCTGCCTTGCTGGGAATCGGCCAGCGTGTTAATAAAATAAACGACCCCTGTCTACCAGTCAGTTTCAGGCCATACTAAAAAATCACATCATCACCCAAAATTAACCACACAAACCATACCTAATACCCACCAGTTACTCAAAAGCTGCTGCTGCTGCTACTCCCATTGTCCTGAGGATTGCTCAACCACTTACCTACTACAATATTAGATAATTGCCTAAATTTCATTGTTTTCAACACTACTAAATTGTAATATCTACATCATACTGTAAACTGTTTTCAATTCTTCTATTGCAAAGATAAACATGTTTATTTTGACAAATTACACTGATGTACAAACACATACATGCCAAAATCCCATTTGTATGCACAAGACCATTTCAGGCAAACTTAGAAATTAACTTAATATTACTAAGACAATAATACACACTTCATATACTCATTACAAGAGTTACAGTCAGTAAAGTACAACTGCATATTGTCAGGTAATGCTACACGCTTTGGATAAATCTAGTAGAGACTTGTGACACTATTCAGTTACTTAATAAAGATTACATTATTACAATGGAACAATTTACAATCATGAATTACACTTTAGTACTACGTATTTAAAACAATAAAATTCTGTATTACTGTGGAACAATTTACATTATGGTATACTGTATTACATTCTACTATTTACAATAATAGAAAAATAAACATGCTAATTTCGCAGTACCAAGTGGTTGAGCATTCATCAGCACAATATGAGTAGCTTTTGAGAAACTGCTAGTGATTAGGTATGGTTTGTCTGGTTCATTTTCAGTTATAACGTGTTTTCTTATTTGGGCCTTAAACTCGTTACCAGACGGTGATCCTCTGCCGTGTTCCGGCTACGAATTCCACGTCTGTGGGCCTTTTACGTGCACGACAAACAAACATTTTGGCACGGGGACAAATGAACACTAGGGATATCGAAGGGTGATCTGTGTCTCGTATTATGGTTGTGTTCTGTTATAGTCATCGAGGAGGACTTTGAGCAAGACAAGGATTTACATCACAATATAGTGCTCTGGGTAGGCAGCAGACAATAATTGTGGACGCTTTGTATATTTAGCAAGTTAAGACTCTTGAAAACAAGTAGTGTGTGTTGTCTAATGCACAAATTAGTAGTAGTAATCAATTGCCCCACACCTTTTTTCTGGGTTATTAAAGGCTTAAAGTAATTTCTGTCTTGAGCCCCATTCACAAATACCAGACCATAATGCAATTATTCTCTACTAGACTTATCAAAGCCATGTAGCATTACCTAACAAAATTCAATTCTCTTGTACCCAATTTAATGTATCTAATGACCATAATGAACCATTATTGCTTTCCCAATCTTATTAAGTTAACAATTTTCAAGTTTTGCTCTGCATACTAAAGGAGCTGTTGCCATGTATACCCAACTATTATATTCCTCTGTACAATCATATATCATGTCAATATTCTGGTTTGTTCAAGAGTAATACAATGATGGGTGAAAAGATTCAAGTCACTCATTTGCACACTACTGGTTACATTTCCCTATTTTTTTTAGCTAATAAACATGGTAACCTCAGTAAGATCTGTTCATGTAAGATAAAGGGATATTGGCAACTTTCCATCTAGATAATCATAACATCAGGCATTGCTAATTGGAATTTTACTACAGAGATTTCATCTTATAGTTGGAAACAAATCATTTATATTGTTAGCTGTATCAATAGGCTCAAGTTTCAGTTCATTTGGCTTAATTAGTACAATAACACTAGCTCTGTTTGGTTTGAGGGTACCCACGATCTCATCGCGTATCTTCCACATCTTTTTAATATCTATCTCCTCGCCTTTCGGTGAATTGCAATAGTACGGCTGCTTAGACCGAGTAATTTGGTGAGGACCGACGTACTACGCTGTTTGATAAACTCTTTGAGCCCCTTCTGTATTGTCTTTCGTGATGGATCTAGCGATGCTCTTAGTAAGCCATGGGCAACTTACTTACTCTTTTGTTAGTCATCTGTTTAGTTTTTATGGGATAAAACATTTGTTATGTACTCTATGCATTTTGTTTACAATATAGTGTATTGTTAATCAAGTCAGACACAGGTTGGTCATCTGTTTGTTAGGCCAAACTTGTTAAAGTCTCCTGCTATTGGTTGGTGCTTATTCAATTGTGTACCTGTAATCAGTGTTCTTAGCTTAGCACTAAAAGCTGATATATTAGTACGAGACATCCTGTATATGACCTCAACAGCTATAGGATTTTTTTTTTTACAGACAAATTTGCAAATATATACTATTCACCATATTCATCACTGATACATATAGTGTTGCTACATGATACTGCAAATGTCTATTGTGTCTTAAGCCACATTTCAGTAAGAATACAGGAGGTTTTCTTTAATGAATCTACAAGTGCCAAATCATCATAATAGTGTTTGCTTAGGGATGTAATAAATACATTACATGCACACAAATTAATTAAACAAAATAATATAAACTTACGTTATACTAGTCACCACATAGCACCTATTACTAAAGCAAACATATCCCACAAAGATGCCTAACACACGGATAAATGTTTCCTGTAAGGGGTCAGCTCACAAGAAAAGGTTACTGCATGTGCAACTTGCTATGCAAGACTCCTCCTACAACCAGTTTCAGCAAGACTCGAGTGTTTCCAGAGTCGCGTAAAACTTCGTTGAGGCTGCAAAACTCGTGTACTTCAATTTCCGTAAAGACTAAAGTGTTCCAACCATCAGGTACAATTTCATAAAGGCTGTAGCACCAAATTGTCTCAAGTTTTCTCACCAGCTCTTGTCCTGGAACAAGTCGAGAGGTCAAATCCAGTGGCTTCCAACACGAGTATTCGATAGTCGTCGACGCGACACTCGTACGCGTACGATGCAACTTCAGCAATAATAAAACATCTCAGACCACTAATCACCCAACAAAAGGCTGTAATCAGAATGATAAAAAATTCCCACTACAGACAACACACTCCACCAATATTCAAAACTCTAAACCTACTCACAATTCAAAACATCCATACTTATTACTGCACCTACTACATACATAGAACACTTAACTCTGACATAAACCCTCCCCTCAAACATCTCCTTACCAACCTCAACAGAACACATGACCATAACACAAGGCACAGATCACTCTTTGATGTTCCTCGTGTCCATCGCACGCTATGCAAAAACTCAATGCACATAAAAGGCCCTAAAATCTTGAATTCATTACCTGTGAATATAAAAGAAACATTATCTGTTTATAAATTCAAGTCTCTTCTCAAAAATCACTTACTCACCCACAACTAAATAAATACTGAATAATTGTATCTCATAAATTGTATCTTATATATGTATCCCATTATTTTATCTCATAAATGTCAACCTGTGACCCAATCAAACTTTGTTACTATTTAACTTCATTACCTAACAGAATACTCCATTCTACTGATTACACAGCAACACAGTAAATGACCATATAACCTGTCTTTGTAATACTCATTTGTACTAAATTGTTATCTGTTTTACAATAATTTTTGTACCACTGAATATATCATTGCTCAGTTAATCTTAAATTAATTTTAAGCTGCCCATAAATAAATAAATAAATACTGATTGTACAGCATTGCATGCAACCATACGACCTGTTTTTGTAATACTCATTTGTGCTTAATTGTTATCTGTTTACAATAATGTTTTACCACTGAATACTTCATTGCTTAGTTAATCTTAAGTTAATTTTAAGCCTGCCCGTAATGCTATGCATTCAAGTGGCTTTGGCATGCTGCATTTAACTGTATTCTTTTGTACTTCTCTGTATCATGTTCAAATTAATAAATAAATAAATAAATAAACGTACGACCTTAATTCATTCCGGGAGGCTCTTCGAGTGCTGCTCCATTTGATTATCTGACAAGGATGTTACCCACACCACTCCACTAATGCCCAGGATGTGACCCACGCCAGTTCCTCGAGGAACAATCCTCTCCGACTCGGCAGATATTCTCTAGAGTTCGTCACGGCAGTCATCTCTGACTCGCCCGCGCGAGACACTGCCGGACGCATTTCCGATGTCGTCTCTACCTCCGCATCCGCTGCTCCGCGGGTAGATTGGAAAATTTAAGGAATGCCCACAACCAGGGTAGGGTTACTCGGGGATAGAAAGGTTAGCCAACCTGAATAGCCCAGGTTGCTAAGTAAGACAGACACATATGCAAAAGTTAGATACTATCTTTATTCCAAAATGTTTGGCCTCTGTAGTTTTGAGGGGGTCAGTCCCTCAGCCTGGAGAAAAGTATTTATTCCATAGTATGAATTATCTTATTATATAAACCACTGCCAGCAACTGCTATCTGGCTATTTTAATCTCCCTCGTGTAAAATGGCACAACACAATGTTATACCTGAAATATCTCAGGGAAAAGCACCCTGGCTCAACAGGCACAAACTGAAGCTTTGTGAAAAGTACACATTGAACCAACAGATAAACAATCCCACCAGAAATGGATTTGATATTCACAAACAAAAAACTAATCAAAGACAATTACAATAACAATATACTCTGAGCATAACAAACAAGTATTAACTCAGGGTGTGGGAACTGCAATATCTTGAGCAAGTTCAATTTCAACAACCATAGAAATAACTGGAAAAAAAATAAACCAAGAACTATCAGACACGAATGCACTAAATCCTCACCAGTGCCCGGACAAGCTCAATACTAGGTCTGTATTAAACACGTACCGTTGAGGAAACCCAGATCAGATACAGCGTACGAGATGGTACAATAGAAAACAACTTGGGATATCGCACCCGAGTACAAAAACAACAAAAGGCCATATTGCGAGATGCCCAAAATATTTCTACTAGTATGCAAAATCAAACAATTGCCTATAGAATTCGACCGTAATCGACGAGACTCGTATACGGACGATGAACAGAAAATGAGTGAAATTCTAAGAGAACAATATCAGTCGGTGTTCAGCAACCCAGTAAATGACAGCAAGAAACATTTTTCACTCCATCACAAGGCTGCACACACCAACTGATATTAGTACAAATCCCATAGATTAAAAAAAAAAAATGCCCACTCAGCACCTGGACAAGATTCAGGGAATCCTCTATTTATAAACAAATGCAAGGTACCACAAGCATGAGCCCTCGGTATTCTTTGGAGAAAGAGCCTACATCTAGGTGAAATACCACAGACCTTAAAGAGCGCAGACAGCTCCTTCGCATAAGGCAAGTAATACATCACTAGCTAAATATTACATCAAAAAAATATTCAAAAAAGTGATGAGACAGCAGATTACAAATTTCTTGGACCGGCATAACCCACACCACTGGTGTTTGAGCAGGACAATCATACCTGTCACAGCTCCTGAACCACTATGACAGAATCACAAACATGTTACAAGATGACCAAAGTGCAAATGTGATATGCACAGATTTTGCAAAAGTGTTTCTTCACAAATGTCATCATGGAGTAATAGTTCACAAAATAGAGGGCCACAGGCACTACAAGGAAGGTAAGAAGGTGGATTTTCAAGTTCCTAACACACAACACAGTAAACAGCAACAACAAGGTAAAAAACTCAATTCCCCAAATTACTGTTCTGGTACCTCTGCTGTTTCTCATCCTCATAGCATACATAAAAACACCCGGCATAGTTTTGTTTCCTTTGCAAATGACACTAAAATAAGAATGATAGTCACTGAAAAATTACAGTGAAAAACAACAATATAACATTCAATGGTGGTAAGTTCCTGCTGCTTAGGTATAGAAAGAACAAAAAACTCAAGAGGATCACCAAATAGAACAAAAACAACAGGTCAAAGACTTGGAAATAATTAAGTTAGTTACCTTACTAACAATAGCAACATATCTGCAGAGGGTTTCAAGGGTCAACGCCCCCTAAGGCCCAGTCTCAGACCGGGCTGTTACTGCTGGCCGCAGTAGATAACAACAGCCCGGAGGAGGAGGAGAAGGATGATGGGGTGGGTATTAAGACCTTTCAAAACAAGGGAAACAATAACAATGGTGACACTTCAAATCACTAGTGGCCAGTACTGACGGCCCCGTTCAAAGCACGAGAAATATATGGCCTTGAACAAATAGAGAGATCGTTTATAGCCCACATAGAGCCAGTAAAACATTTAAGGCAACACTGTAGTATCAACAAGACTATTCAACCTCTTACCACTGCCAGAACAGGTCTACAAGTCTTCAACACAAAATTGGACAAGTATCATCTTCACTAGGTCCTATAACAACCAGGCTGTCGGACAGTGGGCCTCCAGCAGCAACAGCCTCGTTAACCGGACAAGCACCAGACGAGTCTGGCCCGAGGTTGTGCTCCGAAAGTATCAGAGTTCTCGAGAGGGAACGATGAGCCCTCGGTACCCCTGAGAGTGGATACCTCAAATCGGTGACTGTGGAAGTTGGAGTCTGATGGAGAGTGCGTGACGACTCGCCTGCCGAAGGACCTACCCATTAAAATGGCACGACGCTCGAGTGTTCTCCCAATATTCAACCACCAGAGCACTAGTGGCCGTGCTCTCTCGCTCGAGAGGCAAGGTCTCGGAGGATCGTGTGGTTGCGGCCTGAGACTACCTCGTTGGTCGTTGTGATTCTTCGTGGCACTCGTACGGGTGAGAGGGTTGTGATCACTGTAGATGGCAACCACACAAGATGACTGCCCCCCCCCCAAAAAAAAAAAAAAATCAAATGCTCCAGCACAAGTATCAGGGCTAACTAGGACTTCCTTTTCGATGGTGGAGCAGGCCCATCGATGGGTCCAATACTTGGCTCACTAATATGCTATAGGCTGCAAACACTGCCTTTCAGACGCTTGTAGTAATGCTTCCCCGATCGCCGACTCTCGGACGTCGACCTGGAATGCAGAATGTTTTGAAAAATCACGAGACAGCGAAATGAGTACGGTTCGTAATGCGTGTTTTCGTTGCATTTCTGGAATTAGAAAAGCCGTATGATAGGGTGGATAGGGGAGCAACATTACAAGCGTATGGAATAGGTGGCAAGTTACCGAGTCCTACGGTTTATACGAGCACACTAAGGCTTAGGGTGTGTACGAGAGGGGTACATTGCTTTCCGGAAAATGCTAGTGTTGGGGAAAGAGGTGGAATTAAATTATGATAAATTAAATACAAAATGGGAGTTGACACAGTTAGTTACTTTTTGCTGGTGATACTATGCTTTTCAGGGATTCTAAAGTGGCAAAGGTTAATGGACAAGTTTCAAAGTGAACATAGATAAAGATAGGTTTATGAAACAAGAGGTGAACCACAGAACTGAACGAAAAAAAGATATTCGTGCATTGAGGTATCTGTGGAGACAGAGACCACTATGGAGGCAAAGAAGGGAATGTAGTAGAGTATAGTAGCACCAGCACTCTTATATAGGTGTAAAACATGGGTTGTAAATGGTGTAGCAAAAAGGAGGCTGAAGGCAGTGGAGATGTTATGTCTAAAGTACAAAGTTGAAGGTGAACAGATAAGAGAAAGGTGATGAGGGTATCAAACGATTTATACGAGGAAAAAAATGGATATTACATTGGAGGGATTATGGAAATGGATATGTTCAGATATTTGGGAACTGATTTGTCAACAGATGGGTTTATGAACAACGAGGTTAACCCAACAATTGATGAAGGAAAAAAGTTGAGTGGTGCATTGAGGTGCCTGGAAATAAAAAACATTATCCATGGAGGCAAAGAGGGAAATGTACTAAACTATAGTGGTACTAACACTCACATGGGTGTGGGATTGCTGCAGCCAAGAGGAGGCTGGACGCAGTGGACATGTCATGTTTAAGGGCAATGTGTGGTGTATCTATTATATGGAGAATTTGTCATATTAGTCAGAGGGATGAGGGGGTTATTGAGGTGATTTGCTCATTTAGAGAGGATGGAGCAAAATAGAATAACTTGGAGGGTGTACAAATCTGTAGGGGGAAGGATGGGTAGTGGTCATTCTAGGAAAGGGTGAAGGGGAAGAGGGAGGGAGGGAGGTAGAGAGATTGTGTGTGCAATGGGAATAAAGCAAAAGTGTTCAAGATAAATGGTTTTTGAGACCTGACAAGCTGTTGGAATGTGAGCAGTATAATATTTTGCAAAGGCATTTAGGACGACCAGTTAACCGGACATAAAGGAACGGTTTGGAATATTTGTTGTTTGGAGTGACATCTGCAAAGACAGTGATTATGTGTGAATGATGGCAATGAAAATTTTTAATGATGAATTTGTGTTTCTTTTCTGGATTTTTTCATAATTCTGGGATGTAATTGATTAGGCAGAGAGCTCCATCAAGCCTAGCATCTCTATACAGGTATGTACTAGTTTTGATGCCAATTAATACAGACTCGTAAGAGGAAAAAAACATCGTCTGAGCTTGAATCAAAATGTGCCAAAATTACGGTGGTCCCTCGTTTTTCGTAATTAATCTGTTCCAGAGTGTGTGACTATTGTCGAAACTGATGATTTGCAAAACCATTTTTCCCACGAGAAATAATGTAAACATAATTAATCCAGTCCAAACACCCAGAAGAATCGACAAAAAAATTTTCTGTTTACCTTAAAGATACATTTGCATGCACAAAACAATAAACATTCAACATGACAGTTACCTTCACTGAAGGCGGCAGCAGCAGCAGCAGCAGCAGCAGCAGCAGCAGCAGCGGCGGCGGCAGCAGCGGTGGCAGCAGCGGCGGCAGCGGCGGCGGCGGCGGCTGCGGCGGCTGCGGCGGCTGCGGCGGCTGCGGCTGCTGCTGCTGCTGCTGCTGTTGTTGTTGTTGATGGATGCAAGACACAGAGAAAGAAAAGAGGTTATTGTTTGGAAAGGGAAGGGGGTCCATAAGGACTCTAGGTACCAAGTCCTTATCAGGGGTCACTTCTCTAGCTTATAGATTTACATGCAGAAAAGAATGACAAATAAATTTAAAGCACTAATAAAATGGATAAATGAACATTTAACATCACACTAACCTTTATTCAAGACTTGTTGGTGTATGGCAGAGAGACACGAGGCAACTTAACTGTTGGAGAACGACGTCGATATCAACTCGACAGCTTATTTATCTATCGCAATTCAACTAATACAACATAAGAAACAATATTAATAACATAAAAACATGGAATATACTCTAAAATGAACAAGTCATTACGTATGTCACGACTGGTGTTGGGTTGTTGTTGGGCCAGGACCACCGAGAGCATAAGCCGTACATAATGGTGGTGAAAGCTGCAACTGAGGCAACGCTGTTTTCTGTAGCCGTATACAACTCCAACAGTATTGGAGGAGTTAGCAAAATTGCTGAATCACTGAAGAAGGCACCCTCTACCACTATCACAACTGCTACCACCATCACTACTGCCCTGTACCACGATCACAACTGCTACCACCACCACTTTTCTATTTTTCTACAGACTTTTTCTTGAATTGTATCGTGTTTCTCGCATTCTTTACCAGAGGGCTGGCACTAGAAGCTTTCTTTGGAGCAGTGGTACCTTATTTAGCAGTTGCAACCACTAAAATGAATGGAATATTATGAAATGTATTGTATAAACGGGCAAGATCATCCTCCCTCACTTGTAAGTAATGGCATACCAGCTGGGAACAGAGCGTGGGGCCGCTCGAGGCGTGCGTGCGCATCTGGGACGAACGACCACTTGCAAGTCGGACGACGATTCGCGAGTCGACGTTCCGACGAAAAACATGTTACGAGTTTCGAAAATTACAACTTCTGATGCTTACGAGAAACGAGGGACCACTGTGTATGATTTTTATATTCTTAATCAGTATCAATAATAGTGCCTGTATAGTGATTTTAAATATTTTTTTTAAAATCCAGCCAAGTATGGCTAAAAATGCTAAACTACAGTCCGGCGATTTTTGGGTGCCAAATATTTTTTTTTTCCTCTAAAAATGAAAAGTAGGTTCAATGGAACTTTGGCTAATCAATTATTTATCTTAATGAGCTGAACAGAAAAATCATATTACATATAAGAAAGGCAAGCTGGTGAAGAATACTGTACGCTGGGGCTGTGGTTGGAGAATACTCCAGGGTAGGGCTGTGGTTGGAGAATACTCCAGGGTAGGGCTGTGGTTGGAGCATATTGCAGGGTAGGGCTGTGGTTGGAGAATACTGCAGGATGGGGCTGCGGTAGGTGGATAATACAAATTTATTATAATACAAAATCACACATTCTAACCTTTGCAAGAAATAAAAATTTGTATTTAAGGAAAGCTTTCACTGTGTTCACACTCCAGTAACTGATGGAAGCCAGGAGACAATAAACTGGACAACAATACAGTAAATGCTCAGTATCATCAACTTTCAAAAACACCAAACAAAATCTACTGCATAAATTGCATTTCTCACTTATACTGTATATACATTGAGGAACTTTTAAATGTTGATGAATAGATGGAGGCAATAATTTCACGCAATGGCCGGGGACGTATAACATCTTTCACCAGTTGAGAACAGCAACACGTGAGTGTGGGGGAGGTGAACGAGGCATTACGTACAATGAAACGGGGTAAAGCAGCTTGAACTGACGGGATCGCGACAGAAATGTTAAAAGCGGAGGCGGGGGTAGGAGGGGTTGTACGTATGGCTGGCGGGTCTAATGTACGTTCACGAATGTGCCAATATTATTTCGGTATGCCTGCTGCAGTGTTCCTTCTTTCTTATGTTCTTGTCCTTTCTGAACCTAAATTTTTTTTCCAACTTGAAACCTTTGCTGAGAGTCATGTCTTGGTTAGATATTTTTAGCATGTTGTTTGCATCCCCTATATCTGTTCCTGTTTTCCATTTAAGTACCTCCATCATATGGTGTGCCCCCCCCACCACCCCCTTAATTCTATGCCTTTCTAGATTGCAGATTTGGGGCCTTCTGTCTATCCTCTAGCCTTGCATGGGCCAGCAGGCCAACTACAGTGCTTCTTTCTTTTGATCAATGACATGTTTTAATCTGTGTATCAGTTTGTTTAATTTTGATCTAATTTCCCATTTTGGAACACTAGTAGTAGTTTGAGCAGCTAGAACTAGGCTCTGAGAAATATCAGAAACCATCACCAGCTACCCAAGTCAGGTCATTCCAGTTCAACCCACCCAGGTAATTTCTCCTGTGAAATCTTCCAAGTGGAAGTTAGGGTCTGACTTGATTGTGGTTATTAGGGTAATTCAATGGTCTTGAAAGAGTGATTTGTAATTGCTTTCCCCCACGTTCATAATTAAAAACACGATATTTAGAGATTCCTCATTGGCAAGAACCAAGTCAAGCAGGTTATTTCCTCTAGTACGTTCTGTCACTGTTTTAAAAAAGAAATTCTGACTTGTATAAAGTAGAGATTCCTGTCAAGTTGCTCCAATCAATTTTTGGTTAAATTTTCCCATTAATGCCATATTTTTGAATCTAGAAGCCTTACGAATTTCATCCCATGCCGGTTTACTGCACGTCTTATCGAGGTTTGGAGGTCTGTAAGTTACGTCCGAGTTGAGTTTTTTTCCACTACTTCTTTCCCATGTCAAGGATGGAGGATGTCTAGGATATTTTTAATCTTATTCTGTGCCTCTACATTCTTCAAATACCTCAGATAAGAAAGTAGATTCGTAAGGCAGGAAAGCCTCGTTGTAAAATTGTCCAGAGATTCGTCGATATATTTGAAGGTGGCCTCTAATTGCTTTGGCAATTTATTCCATCCATTTTCAAAACAATGGTTAAGCAAATAGGTAGCTATCTTTAAATTATAGACCAATCTCCCTTGTAAACAGGTATCACATTTGCAAATGTTATAAAGGAAGGTAAGGGTAATTTAGCAACACTTGGTCTTTTCAACATATCACTGTGAACTGGTCTGGTAACAGTCGCGGATGAATGGAACAAACTCCCGAGTACAGTTAGGGGCTAAGACGTGTAGTTTTAAAAATAGGTTTGATAAATACATGAGTGGGTGTGAGTTGGACCCGATTAGCTTGTGCTGCTACGTCAGTCGCCGTGTTCGAGTGAATGTGACCCGACCCGGCTAGGTTGGGTGCGTTGGCTTAAGCCGGTAGGAGACTTGGACCTGCCTCGCATGGGCCAGTAGGCCTGTTGCTGTGCTCCTTCTTTCTTATGTTCTTAAAATGGCAAATATGATGCAAATTTATAAAGCTGGAGATATGTTAACTTTGAATCAAGAAAATTTCTTTGTGGGACAAATGTTTTTTTCCAGTGTTGTGGATATAGAAAAGTTGTGAATTGTTTAATGGTTTGACTACATTATTATACATTGGCTAATTAATTTGAAATTCAAATCTACCCATTGTATTTGAAGTAAGCCCTGGTTGCTCTTGAAGGTGAGGGAGCATGCAAGTGTCGTGAAAGATTCTTTCAATTAAAGTTAGGTTCTGCTCCAAAATTACAAAGTACAGTGGACCCTTGACCAGCGATGGCATCGATTAACAATAAATCTGACTAGCGATACATTTTATCGCACAAATTTTGCCTCGATTAGCGCTAAAAAACTCGACCAACACTATTCGTTCCGTCTGAGACGCGTCCACTTCTGGCCAGTGTTTATAAGCCAGCCAGCCACCGCGGTCGCTTCCAAGCATACAATCGGAACATTTCATATTATCACAGCCTTTTTAGTGATTGCACCTGCAAAATAAGTCACCATGGGCCCCAAGAAAGCTTCTAGTGCCAACCCTACAGCAAAAAGGGTGAGAATTACTATGGATATGAAGAAAGAGATCATTGCTAAGTATGAAAGTGGAGTGCATGTCTCCGAGCTGGCCAGGCTGTACACAAAACCCCAATCAACCATCGCTACTATTGTGGCCAAGAAAACGGCAATCAAGGAAGCTGTACTTGCCAAAGGTGCAACTATGTTTTCGAAACTGAGATCGCAAGTGATAGAAGATGTTGAGAGACTGTTATTGGTATGGATAAATGAAAAACAGATAGCAGGAGATAGCATCTCTCAAGCGATCATATGTGAAAAGGCTAGGAAGTTGCATGACGATTTAATTAGAAAAATGCCAGCAACTACAGTGGTGATGTGAGTGAATTTAAGGCCAGAAAAGGTTGGTTTGAGAGATTTAAGAATCGTAGTGGTATACAGAGTGTGATAAGGCATGGTGAGGCTGCCAGTTTGGACCAAAAAGCAGCTGAAAAATATGTGCAGGAATTCAAGGAGTACATAGACAGTGAAGGACTGAAACCTGAACAAGTGTTTAATGGTGACACTGACAATGTTGTGAAACACTTTAGGAATGTCATAAAGGAATGGGAGGTACAGGCCTCAATGGGCAGATATGTTGTGCGACAGAGGTCCAGTGACTCTCAAGCTGGTCCTAGTGGCATTAAAAGAAGGGAAGTAACCCCGAAAAAGGACTTGCCACCTCAAGTCCTAATGGAAAGGGATTCCCCTTCTAAACACTAAGACCATCAACACACTCCCCTCTTCCCATCCCATCAATCATCACCAGATCTTCAATAAAGGTAAGTGTCATGTAACTGTGCACGTCTTCTTCAGTTTGTGTGTATTAAAATTAATATTTCATGTGTTAAAAAAATTTTTTTTCAATACTTTTGGGTGTCTTGCACGGATTAATTTGATTTCCATTATTTCTTATGGGAAAAATTAACTTGACTAACGATTATTTTGACTAACGATGAGCTCTCAGGAACGGATTAATAGCGTTAGTCGAGGGTCCACTGTATCTCTTATGGAACCGGAATGAAATTAAAAGTGAAGCTTGACTTAAGGATGACAGGTGATAATAACCTTGGAGAACTGAAATTATCCTGTTTTATACTAAATCTAAAAGTATTTGCAGGCAGGCAGGCAGGCAGGCAGGCAGGCAGGCAGGCAGGCAGGCAGGCAGGCAGGCAGGCAGGCAGGCAGGCAGGCAGGCAGGCAGCAGGCAGGCAGGCAGGCAGGCAGGAGGCAGGCAGGGGCAGCAGGCAGGCAGGCGCAGGCAGGCAGCAGGCAGGCAGGCAGAGCAGGCAGGCAGGCAGGCAGGCAGGCAGGCAGGCAGGCAGGCGGCAGGCAGGCAGGCAGGCAGGCAGGCAGCAGGCAGGCAGGCAGGCAGGCAGGCAGGCAGGCAGGCAGGCAGGCAGGCAGGCAGGCAGGCAGGCAGGCAGGCAGGCAGGCAGGCAGGCAGGCAGGCAGGCAGCAGCAGGCAGGCAGGCAGGCAGGCAGGCAGGCAGGCAGCAGGCAGGCGGAGCAGGGAGCAGGCAGGCAGGCAGGCAGGCAGGCAGGCAGGCAGGCAGGCAGGCAGGCAGGCAGGCAGGCAGGCAGGCAGGCAAGGCAGCAGGCAGGCAGGCAGGCAGGCAGGCAGGCAGGCAGGCAGGCAGGCAGGCAGGCAGGCAGGCAGGCAGGCAGGCAGGCAGGCAGGCAGGCAGGCAGCAGGCAGGCAGGCAGGCAGGCAGGCAGGCAGGCAGGGCAGGCAGGCAGGCAGGCAGGCAGGCAGGCAGGCAGGCAGGCAGGCAGGCAGGCAGGCAGGCAGGCAGGCAGGCAGGCAGGCAGGCAGGCAGGCAGGCAGGCAGGCAGGCAGGCAGGCAGGCAGGCAGGCAGGCAGGCAGGCAGGCAGGCAGGCAGGGCAGGCAGGCAGGCAGGCAGGCAGGCAGGCAGGCAGGCAGGCAGGCAGGCAGGCAGGCAGGCAGGCAGGCAGGCAGGCAGGCAGGCAGGCAGGCAGGCAGGCAGGCAGGCAGGCAGGCAGGCAGGCAGGCAGGCAGGCAGGCAGTCAGTCAGTCAGTCAGTCAGTCAGTCAGTCAGTCAGTCAGTCAGTCAGTCAGTCAGTCAGTCAGTCAGTCAGTCAGTCAGTCAGTCAGTCAGTCAGTCAGTCAGTCAGTCAGTCAGTCAGTCAGCCAGCCAGCCAGCCAGCCAGCCAGCCAGCCAGTCAGTCACCCAGCCAGCCAGCCAGCCAGCCAGCCAGCCAGCCAGCCAGCCAGCCAGCCAGCCAGCCAGCCAGCCAGCCAGCCAGCCAGCCAGCCAGCCAGCCAGCCAGCCAGCCAGCCAGCCAGCCAGCCAGCCAGCCAGCCAGCCAGTCAGCCAGCCAGTCAGTCAGCCAGCTAGCCAGTCAGCCAATAAGACTAACCTCTATAGTGGGAAAATTTATGGAATCAATAATTGCCGAGGCAGTTCGTAGCCACCTTAAAAAGCA